TCCATGTTGGGATAGTTAACTCTGTGCCATGGGATATACTCCAGTTGCCATAGTTCTTAAAAAAAAAAAAATCCCTAACCTTCAGCATCATTTGATAAAAAGTTTCCACAACTTTTCTGGACAGCTTGTTCCAAACATGAACTGCATGGACCTTTGGTATCATGAAATAAGAAGCCAGAATGATCCAGGCCATTGTATTTCCAATTTCTATGTATGGGTGTGAAAGCTGCACAGCAAAGAAAGCTGAGAAAAAGAAAATTCATTTGAAATAATGGTGCTGGAGGAGAGTTCTATGGATACTGTGGACTGACAAAAAAAAAAGACAAATAAAACTATTAGAGCAAATCAAACCTGAATTCTCCCTAGAAACCAAGATGACTAAACTAAGGCTAATGTACCATGGATGTATCATGAGCAGAAATGATTCATTAGGAAGGATAATCCTTGGTAAAGTGGAAGGCAGTAGCAAAAGAGGGAGAGCCCATTCCAGGTGGTCTTGACTCTGTCAAGGAAGCCACATCTGGGCAGTTTTTTGACTGGAGATCTTGGAGTCCTCGCATTCAGAGGGTTACCATAAGTCTAAGTCATCATGTCAACAAGGACAGCGGGTCCCTGGTGTCCGCTGGAGTTTGGTTTCAGGACCAAAATCTGAGGATGCTCAAGTCCCATTAAATATAATGCCCCTAGTAAAACAGCATCCCTGATCTAAAATGGCAAAATCACGGTTTGCTTTTTGGAATTTAGATTTTTTAAAAATATTTTCAAGCCATGGATGGTTGAATCCATGGATAAAGAATCCATGGACACAGAAGGTCAACTGTGACCACCACAATAACATGGATCCTAGGGAAATTCTCCCTAATCTTTTAGTCCATCTCCTTTTGTTGGTTAAAGCCCTTTGTTAGATGCTGGATTTCCATTTGATTGACAGCAGTTCTCCAGTTCATCCAGCCTCTGGGTCTCTAGGTTAATAGGATAAGCTGATTCTTAAGAAGAGCCCTGGGTGATCAGAGCAAAGGCCTGTCCAGCCCAAAGTCACAGAGGTCAGAGAATTGCAGAGCTGGAAGAGTTTCCAAGGCCCCTGCCTATGAAAGAAGTCAATTGTATTCCTCTTGAGAAGCCACCAGCAGGACAGGGCAACACCTCCCATCCCATGAAGTTTATGTTCCTCAGCAGTCAGTATTTCAGAGACATACGTTACTGCCTCTGATACTGGCATTAATATATTACTATCATGGCTACTAGCTAGTAACGGCCTTCCTCGCCTATGAACTTCTCTGGTCCCTTTCTAAATTCATCCATTTTGGCAGCTAAAACTGCACCTGTGCTGGTCTTTGCCATCTTCTGTGTTCTTCTGTATCCTCGGCAGAATTACACTTCCCTCTTGAAGTGGGGCATTCAGTTTTTAAAACAGTGTCCATGGTACACTTCTGTCTACTGGTGTGTTGCTAGAACTGCCACTGGAAACACACCTGTTGCAATAGCATTTCCAATTTGTCATTGCATCCTCAGAGTCACAGAGGTCAGAGAATTATCATAGAGGTCAGAGAATTTTAATGTTTAGTGCGTATCCATGTGCAAATTGCAATGCATACTCTTATGCAATGTGCAATGTGTGCACAGTTTTATTTCTGCAACCTTGGACTGAATGCAGGTGCTCAAACAAAAGTGTCTAGCTGCCTTTGTAGGGGAACTTATGTATGTATAAGGTACTCTTTCAGGAGTGCTTTGATTGTGTGTTAATGCCTAGCAGGGGGTTGGAGTAGATGGCCTCAGTAGATGGCTCTTGTAGTCCCTTCCAACTCTAAGATTCTATTATTCTAAGAAGGTTTGGGTCTGTGTTTGCCTTTCCTTGCCCCTGCTAGCAAAGCAACCTCTTCATCTTCCAAAGAAGTGCCTCCTTTCATGTGGTTCACCTGCAAGATTTCAACCTGTTTCCTGCAAAAGGGAATTTGACAATGTGAAGTCGTAGGCTTTCATGGCCGGCATCCATAGTTTTTTTGTGGGTTTTTTCGGGCTGTGTGGCCATGTTCTGAAAGAGTTTCTTTCTGACGTTTCGCCAGCATCTGTGGCTAGCATCTTCATTCTTCAAGATGCTAGCCACAGATGCTGGCGAAACGTCAGAAAGAAACTCTTTCAGAACATGGCCACACAGCCCGAAAAAACCCATAAAAAAAAAACTAGGGAATTTGACACTTTATAATGCAGGTTAACATCTGAAGCAAGAATTTCCATTTTTTGCAAGCAATACCCACACAGAGAGAGCAAGCTTTAAAGTGTAGGGTGATGGGTTTTGCAGTTTCCAAAAAGCAAATGACACCTGGGTGCTTTCACCTGTGTTTGTGTACCACGCTGCCTATAGCTGACAGCCACTTGGGATGGAAAATGCAACCTGGGTGTTGAATTCCAGGGCATTAGTTCAGTATAGCATTTGGGGATGTGGCTTTAAGGAACCAGATCTTTACAGAGGTTAAATCCTCTTTTCAGGAAATGCAATGTTCTGGGAAGGTTGGTATGAGCCTTGAACACTGTGGAAATTTTATCTGCCAGTCAACTCTGTTTTCCTGAGCTTATGCCTGCAAGGAGAGCCTACTATGGGTTTCCTCAGAAGCAAGTCCCATTCCACAAGAGCTTTGCACTTTTTCATTAGCAGCTTCTTACTTATGTCTGGCTCTTCTGGTCTTTTAACTAGTTGCTTCCTATTTATTCACATGCCCCCCCCCCCATTCCTTAATTGACCCTTCATTTGTAAATTCCTTTCCAAGGCTGACAGGTTTTGCTTGTGAATTTCCTCCTTGCAGTCAGAACAATTGTTCATTGACCACGTTCCAACACTGAGGTTACATATGGTAAATCTCTGCATGCAGAGTTATGCATTGATTGTGTTACACATCCCCCTTTTTTGAATAGCAACATAGCACAACTGAATGCACAACCAGATGTGCATACACATGCATACTTTTGTCTATATGCACAACGGCACAATATGTACAAGTCTGTTCCTGCAACCTGAACTGAACAAAAATGGTCTGCATTCGACACCAACAGGATCCTGGGCCTTACATCCATTCTGCAGAAAGTACTTAGTTTGGGAGCATCCAAGATCCACCCAGGTCTCCTTCCTTTGTAAATGTAAATTGCAACTGAAAACAACCCAACTATGCAATAAGCTGGCTTTTCTTGGGTTTACTGTTCACCCTGTGCTGGTTTTTTGGATCAAAGCACACATTCCGACAGGATTGTAAAGAACTGCTTCTTCTCTACATGTGAGGTCTGTTTTCCCAGTTTTGTCCTGAACTCATTGAATGTAAAGGGAGAGCCTCACTTACTGTACTTTCTTCACTTACTGTAATATCCCCATCCATGGTTCCTTTCTATTTATTACCCCAAATGAATTTCTAAGCTTATTCTTACCTCTAAAACAATCTGAGAAATCAAAAGTCATTTTAAAAATGAAGATAACTATGAGAATGCAATGGAAAACTTTCCTGGCAGATGGGAGCTTTCCTGGGAAAGTGAAAGGGAAAATTCAGAAATGACATTCTCAGAATGGAGGCTTGCCTTTATTTTATTTTATTTTATTTGTGGACAGCGTGTGAAACAGTAGCGCTTTCCCCCTTCACATTAGGCCTTTGAAACTCCGATTCAAAGTTGAGCTAATTCAAACAAAGTAGATTCCCAACAAAAATATTGGTGCTCCTCCAGTCTTCACAATGACTGGTTTTAGTTTATAACATAATGTGTAGCTGTAGTTTGTTATTACTTGAATTTTTAAAAAATGAAGTCTCAGTATCCTTACACTTGTCCAAGTTGGGCATGTTCAAAATGTCTGATTGGGCCATTTTGTGCTTTTAACCACCTTTCCACTGAACATTCCCGGTCTGAGATGTAATAGCAAAAATTTTGCTCTTGGGCAGAGGAGGTGCTGCTGGCGAGTAAAAGGGATGCTTTATATTTCTTGGATCATGCCCACCACATCAA